AAAAAAAAAAAAAAGTGTCTTCATTGGATTAATAAGGAACCCCCTTTTTCTCATTTTTTAATTTTTGAGACAGGGTCTCACTCTGTCACTTAGGCTGGAGTGCAGTGGTGTGATCTCGGCTCACTGCAACCTCTGCCTCCCGGGTTCAAGGGATTCTCTTACCTCAGCCTCTCTAGTAGCTGGGACTACAGGTGTGCACCGCCACACCAGGCTAATTTTTGCAGTTTTTGGTAGAGATGGGGTTTCAGCATATTGGCCATGCTGATCTGGAATTCCTGACTTCAAGCGATCCACTGGCTTCGGCCTCCCATAGTGCTGGGATTACAGGTTTGAGCCACTGTGCCTGGCTGGGAGCCCCCTTCTTCTAGCAGACAAAAGCCAAGGTGCACAGTTTAGGGAGCAGATTATGGGCTAGATTTGAGCCTTCACTCACACATGTAGTTCAGGAACTAAATATATGTATATATGTAATATAATTGGGTGTGTTGGCTCATGCCTGCAGTCCCAGCACTTTGGGAGGCCGAGGCAGGAGGATAATTTGAGCACAGGAGTTCAGGACTGACCTGTGCTACATAGGGAGGTCCTGTCTCTACAAAAAGCTGGGTGCATTGGTATACACCTGTAGTCCCAGCTACTTGGGAGGTTGAGGTGGGAGGATCCCTTGAGGCCAGGAGTTCGAGGCTGCAGTGAGCCATGATTGCACTACTGCAGTCCAGCCTGGGTGAGAGAATCAGACTTTCTTTTTTGAGATGGAGTCCCGCTCTGTCGCCCAGGCTGGAGTGAAGTGACGCGATCTCTGATCACTTGAACCTCTGCCTCCTGGGTTTAAGTGATTCTTCTGCCTCAGCTTCCTGAGTAGCTAGGATTATGGGTGTGTCACCATGCCCAGCTATTTTTTAATTTTTATTTTTAATAGAGACGGAGTTTCACCTTGTTGATCAGGCTGGTCTTGAACTCCTGACCTCGTGATCCGCCCGCCTCGGCCTCCCAAAGTGCTGGGATTACAGACGTGAGCTACGGTGCCCAGTTCTCTCACTCTGTCTATATCTAATCAGATATATATATCAGAGGCTGAGAAAAGGGGAGAGGTGGATGAGGAAAAAATGTATTTATTATTGAACTGAACCTTTGATAATGGAAAAAATGGTAAATCATATATGCACATTTTACAGATATAAAATTATATATATATATATATATATATGTATGTATATACAATTTATATACATAGTATATTCATGTATATAAAGCTGGAAAAAATGTTAATCTCCCAAGCAGAAAGTTGACTTTGTCATAGCTCCTTTGGCAGCTGAACTTGACTGCGCCCGTGTAATTGTACTGGTGGTCTTTATTTATTGTGTAGCCTGCGTATTCATGTAAACAGGATGTAGTATGCTTGATATGGGGATGTCCCAGGAGTTCCCAGAGGGGGCGTAATTCATGCTACACACATCATACTACCTTTTTTTTTTTTTGAGACAGTGTCTCGCTTTGTCTCCCAGGCTGGAGTGCAGTGGTGCAATCTCAGCTAACTGTAACCTCTGCCTCCCAGGTTCAAGCGATTCTTCTGCCTCAGCCTCCTGAGTAGCTGGGATTACATAGAGGTGCATGCCACCACACCCGGCTAATTTTTATTTTATTTTTAGCAGACATGGGAGTTCACCACATTGGCCAGGCTAGTCTTGAATTCCTGACCTCTTGATCCGCCCTCCTCGGCCTCCCAAAGTGCTGGGATGATAGGCGTGAGCCACCGCATCTGGCCACATCACACTACCTTTCTAGATTCTGCATCTCCAAGAGTGGCTTCTAGGGTTTGGAATCAGGGAAGGCGAATTTTTAGAGGTCATGGGGTGGGAACAAAGACCGTGTGTAAGAGGTAAGACGTCAGGAAGCAGCGGTGTGCCCACACCACTGAGGTAGGTGTGCTGCCCCTTTCGGGGGGAATTTCCATTCTGGGGATCCCCATTATGAGGTTTCCAAGAAGGGAACACTTTTCAAGTCTGCTTTCCTAACGCTTGCATCTCGTCACGGTTGCACCTTACCTGTGTCTTGCTGCCCGCAGTCTCCGGCTTGGTCTGCTCAGGAAACTCCTGGTGCCTGAGATCGGGATGGAGATGAGGGCCTTAGTTTGGCCAGTCGCAGCATCTCAGTGGGGTGAGACGCCTTGGTGGGGAAGGCAGAGTGGAAAACCTGACGCCTTCCACCAGCAACTCTTGTGGCTCTGTGTGAGGTGGGGTTATGTGGGTAGGAAGGAGTGGAGATGGATCGTGTGGTCTGCAGAGGATGCATTTTGGAGTGGACAGAGCTGAGTTTAAGCCTGGGTTCTGCCAGTGCTGTCTAAGCTGTGCATCCCTGGGCAAACATCTTCACCTCTCTGGGCCCGTGTCTTCAATTATAAAACTGGAAAATAATTCTCATGGGCTCTCGGGAGTTTTAAATGAGCCAGCAGTTTCAATTGCACAGTGGCTGACATTGGATTTCATATATGAAATCTATTACTATTAT